TTTTCCCCCAATTACTGGTTCATTTAGCCGCTCCCCTAATTAAACACTGACTCGGAAGACAGGTGCTCTCCATTCGGGTTTTGGCAAAATCGCGACAAGACGGACAGCCGTGCCCACACACGCCTGTCGAAACCGGGTTGTCTATTCAAGCCTTAAGGGGGTTGCTCAAAAATCGCACACAAACCTTAAAATAACGCAGCTAGTTTGAAAAAGGAGGTTTAAAATTACCGCATGAACAACGTTGGGTGGCGCAAGTAGCCCGCCCCCACTAACAATAAATCGATCGGTGATTGGACAGTGGGAAATCGTATTATCCAATCATAGTGCGAGGTATATGGAACTGGACGGAAAGAGCCAATCGAATAACCGAAGACACTTTTGTCTCTCCCCTCCCTCTCCGTAATGGCGGGAAGAGCTGTGTCTTTAATTCGTTAATTAGCTTTTTTGTTGTTGTTGTTGTTGTTGGTGGTGGTTTTTTATGTGCTACAGTTAAGTCTGAAAGACTTTGACGAGAGTAAAATTTAAAGTTGGTGTCCCAATGAAAAGTTCAACAAAGCTGTAACGGGGGGGACAGTAACTTAAATGAGGAGCAACTTGAGTGGAAAAATCGTTCGACTTGCTTCGCCTCGGAAGTCATCTCCATTGATCCCGAAACGGCGAGCGGCCGTAGAGGAACAGCGGCAGGTAAGATCACGTACTGTGAGGCCTTCTGTTTAACCCCAAGTTCTTAATTCCCTTTGGGGGTACGCGATTGAAAAAAATGCATTTTAAAGTTGGAATGCTATAAATACGGACAACCACGTACAGGTTTACCAGCAGCTTTTAGATCTCTGTAGACGCCTACTCTCCCACTAGCTTTATTTTTGAGTTGATTCTGACAGCATTTTATTCTGCATTTGTTTTGTTGTTTGGAAGGGGACGCGTGTCCCACAGACTCGCAAGATGTTCCTGCTTGCTCTGGAGCTGCGAAGGCAGTTCAAGTGTTTTTGATGACCGCGACACGGAAAGATGTGTTTGTTTTCAATTACTTCAAGTACTTCAGTTGTACGGAGGGGTTTTATAGAGGAACAAAAATGTAGGCGGTTAGGAAAAAGGGTAAGGCTATCGGGGGAAAAAAAACTGAAATGTGTTTACAGCTTATGTATATTCAGTGGTTGCGTTGTGTTATTTATCACTGGGGGAAAAAACAAGTAGAGAATTGGCTTGGCCCATGGAGAATTGTAAATAATAAAGAAAACATGGCAACGTTTTGATTCCTTATGGAAATCTGTATTAAATGGCAAGAATGTGTTTGGGAGAAGTTGCACTGGAATTTGCGCAGGGCTTGGGGTCATCTGGTCTGGGAGAGTTCTGAGGACAGCCCACATCAAAACCCGGCTGAAGCTCCAAGTGTGAAGGAAAACCTGCAGAGACTCAGACCTTGCAAGACCTGGGTTGGACACCCCTGCTGTAAGACACTTTGCACTGAAGGGGCTGAAGTAGACCGTGCTGTCCTGCGTTACTGGAGTCATCAGCCTGCTTGCAGACTGTGCATCTGTGGTTGCTTGCAAGTGGGGGGAACATTCTGAACTATTATCGCCCTACTCCCCACCTCGCAACCTCCGCTCTTCAAATTCTGCCCTCCTTCCTGTCCCCCAAGCCCGTCTACATTGTATGGGTGACGGGACCTTCTCCTGTTATGCCCCCAAGCTCTGGAACTCTTTGCCCAAGGATTTCAGAGAGTCACCTTCTCAAAACTCCTTCAAATCCAGACTCAAAACCCTCTTCTTCAGAAAAGCCTTTACTGAACTGGTTCCATTCTTCACCCCTCTGCTCTTCTTAGTACCACCATCCACAGTCTCCTGTATTATAATTGTGTCTTATCTTGTGTATTCTTCTTGTTTATTGTTGTATTCTTATTTATTGTTATTGACATCCTGTAAAGAGCTTTGAGAAGCCACCTTTAAAGGTGTTATATAAAATAAAGTTTATTATTTTTATTATTTTCATGCAAACACTTGGCAGTAAAATGTTTGCAAAACATCTCGGATCTGATTTTCTTTCGAGGGGCTTGTATCTTTCCATTTCAGTCAGTGGGTGGTCTGGAGTCTCCCCCTCTCTGTTGTACTCCGCTGAGCTTTCCAGTTGACTTGCAGTGTACATGTCTTTGAAGTCAAGTAGCTGTGAGTGCAGGTGGGCGACATCAGTGTAGAAGAAACCATCTCCCAGTGAGGGGAGATGTGCTTTATGCGCTGCAGTCGCCTCAGCCTGCAGGTAACTTCTCTGGTGGGACTGGGCAGTTCGGATACCCCTGTGGTGTGTATTTCTGCACTGTAACCCTGCAGATGCTCCAGCCTTTCCTGGGGATCTGCTCCATCCATGAAACCTCTTGATTGAAGCTCAAAAGCACTTGAGCGCCTGAAGCACAGTTTTAATTAAAAGAACATGCTGTTCGTAGTTAATTTTCTCTCTCTCTCTCGCAGACAGTTCACAACACTGGCCCTTGCCTCCCCTCCCCTGCGCTGTGCTGTCCTGTGCAGTTGCAGCCCCTCGGGCTCCAGGTGGCAGTGTTGCGCCGCTCGTGAGGGCTGTGCTGCCAGCAGCCTGGCTGATGCACCACGAGCTCTCTGCTGCCTGCTGTGCTGGAGCCCTCTGTTCCCACCACAGCTGCCTGTGACTTTGAGTGTCATTGAGATGTGAGGAGAAAGCTTCACAAAACAGGGCTTCGACAAAGGTGGCGGATCAGGGACGGGTGGAGGGATCTTCCTGTACAGCAGTTCGGATTTTAACAAGGTCTTACCAGCTGACCCAAGGAAGCAGAAAAAGCTCATTTTTTTAACTCATTTTCAGCCCATGTTTGGGGGGGAAGACAAGTTAACCAGTGTGAAAAATCCCAGTATTGTCATACGAACCTGCAGGCTCTTCTGCTGTGCAATCTGAAGTGGTTCAAAATACAGTTCAAGCTTATTTCCATTCCTTTGGTCAGTTTCAAGACTGAAGAGACTGGTAAAATAGCAGCAGTGGGCGGTGCCTCACAGCACAGAGCCCCGAGGCGTTAGATATATGCTGTTGTCAATCATGGCTATACGTCTCTATATAGCACCTATAATAGCTATACAGCTAAGGTTGCTGCTGGAAGAGGTGTTAATGGGCCCAGTAGGGGGCGCTCACCCTGCAGTCTGTGTGGGTCCTAATGCCCCAGTAGAGTGATGGGGACACTATACTAAAAAAAAATGCACCGTCCTTTAGAAAACCGAGGTCCTGACTCTCTGTGGTCATTAATGATCCCAGGGCGTTTCTTGAAAAGAGTAGGAGGGTTATTCCTGGTGTCCTGGCCAAATTCCCCTCTGATCTTTACCAGTTAGGCCTCCTATTAATCCCCATCTCTGAACTCTGTTCTCCTCCCCACTGAGAGCTGGTGTGTGGTGAGCGTTTTGGCGCACTCTGGCTGCTGTCACATCACTCAGGTGGGGCTGCGCACTGGTGGTGGTGGAGGGGATCCCCATTACCTGTAATCTCTTTGAGTGGAGTGTCCAGAAAAGTGCTATAGAAGTGTGAGGGTTATACCGTATATT